ATCAAAATAATAATTGTAATTAAAAATACTAATTTGTAAAAACTCTAGGACTCCGGGTCCAGATTGCTCTGGGGGAGGGCAAATAAGATAACCGTAAGAGCAAATTGAGTCATGGAAGGGTAACCAACAGAGTCAATTAACAGAGTCAATCAACAGAAGGAGACTAACCTACTGCACAATTAATCGCCCGTCCCGCGCCCACGTCCCTACTCATTAAAATAGGCCTTTCATTCGACGACCAAGGGAGCTGTTTTGTCGTTACCCTAAAGAGGTATCCTAAAACCCTTTATCGAAGCTTTATTCCCAGACACCTTTTGCTTGGACCATAACTATTTACGTACAAAACAAGTCGGCCTATTAGAGGTGTCAGATGTAATGAAAATATTAAAAGATTAATACTTAGATTAGCGGTCTCCCGTTTTAACGTTGCAATACGATATTTGCTGTTGTCGGCTCATGTCGTCCGTTGTCAAAAACTTTTCCATTTCTATGGGAAACGATAATGTGAATTGTTCTGTCAGTCAATATTAAATTATATTGTCTACTTAACGGTTATTACCAACAGAAAAATTGCAAGCGCGTGTAACCATTGTTCAATTCGGCTCCGAAAATTCGGTCTTTGTTTGGCAGCAAATCTAGGCATATATGAACAGTAAATTACGAATAATGATACGCGATTGCAATACTTCAATTGTAATATACAATGGTAAAGCCTAATTTTAAACGGTGAGGTGGTAAATGTCAGAATGTTGCATCTTGAATGCCGTTGTTGTACGTAAAGAGGACGTGAAACGACCACGTTTTGTGCAATACGAAAAAATGAAACGTGATTGCATTTAAAAGTACTTCATTTGCGAGTGTCTACACATACTTCCCAATTGCAGTAATCCTGTGAACCGATAAAATTTCTTCATGACATTATTGAAATTTACATTAAGCATAAATGATACAAAACCACTCAATGATTTCAATTGTAACATATATTCCGATGCGTATCCGCTTATAATAATAAATAATAATATTACATTCTTCATAGTAAAGTAAATTTCAGTCTGGAACTCAATTACAACTCGACTACCTTTTCACAACCGGACGTAATAGAAAGTTTAGTCTTGGTCCGAAAATGAGTACATAAAAAGAATAAAGATAAGTCTTGACAATGATGGTACAAAAAAGATAAATATAAGATAATAAATGAACGCATAAGAATAGTAGGGACAAATAAAAGTAGGACACATGATAGGCACAAAGAGAGAAAACGACGAGTGTACATGAACATCTTCATGAACTGACGATCGAGGACTGCACAAAAACTGACACTAAAGTCAATGTTACCTAGCGTCTGGTCCGGGAGGCAAAACGTCCGACCAAGAGTCTCGACGTCGAATTCGGGTGTGTAAGCTCGGAGTCCCAAGCGATCACTGTTGTCATTTCTCCCGTCGGGGCGGGTGGAATGGAGGTGTGGTCCCTCGAGCGACTCTGTGTTCGGCGCAGCTCCAGTGCGCGACCACCTGGGCCGCCTGGTGACAGGGTAGGAGTCGGGCTTCCTCCCTCCTCGGGGACGGACCGGGACCGTGGCGGGAGATGGTTCCTCTACGCCGGGGACCTTCTTCTCCCGGGAAAGAACGGTGGGGGAGAAGGAGGAGAGGAGGCTGAGGAGACGGGGGACAGGGAAAGGGAGAGAAGAAGAAGGAGAAGGAGGAGGAGGAGGAGAAGGAGGAGGAGGAGGAGGAGGTAGTGTGAGGACCACTTTTCGGTCCGCCAACTCTCTCACCTCGATGACGGGACGAGGACGACCTCCCCCCCTCGGGGCTCCTCACCGAACTGAGGGAGGTTATTGTGACCTGTGTTATTGGTACGACATAATATTACATTTAATTTATATAAAAAGTTTATTTCTCAAAGTTTGAATTTATAGACAAACTAACTGAAGGACATCAAAGGTTGTGAACCACGACAGCAGGAAGACGACCGACCAAACGTGAAGTTAACTTCAAGTCGTCAAAGTTTTTCCTTCCTTCTACAGTAGATTGTTATTTGACCTGACCTGACCCTGACTATTAAGACCGACGAGACAATTGTCTTCCCTGTCTCATCTGAGAAAGACGGACTCCTCTGACTCCAGAAAGTCGAGACAGGACCCCTCAGAGACCTGTGACCCCTGCCACCACCCTCTGTCCTCTTACGCGTCGGTTTCAAGAGGAGGGACGACCTTGTTACACAGGGGTGGGGAGGTCCTTGGGAACAGGAGTGACAACGTCGTGGAAGTCGCTGTCCGACGACGTGGGGGTGGACAGAGTGCCTCTCTATGGCGTCCGGAAGGAAGGACGTACGCAGTCTGAAATGTTGGTCGTGTCGTGGATCATCTGGGAGGATGTGTGTGGTGTTGTGCCTGAATTTGTGGGGAACGACGATTTATGTTTTGGTTGAAACACGTATATAACAAGATATACACGTGGGGGGGTTTTTTTATACCGTATTATTGACACATTAAATGGACCGGTGATTTTAGATATATATATACCGGCAATTATGACACATGGTAAATATGGACCGAACGATTTGGGAACAATGACAATGTTCCAATACATAGAACATAAAACAATTAGACACATTGAACGACGACAATTTATGGCAGTTTGATACAACCGTTATACACGAAATACACGTTATATGTCCTGGTCTGACCCTGTTATTCAGTCCGGACCTCAATATGTGGGTCTGGTCCGGTGAATGGTCAAAAAAAAAAACACGAAGACCTAAATAAACATAAACAGTTTAAATGGTCGCAAACTAAAGGGTATCACTATCGGGAATATCCAATTTAGATGATGCGGGTTTAATTTTGTATACCCTCTACTAAATGATAAAATTTTTTTACAGGTTTAGATTGAATCCTTGGATAAGTGCACTTGTATAAATTCACCACCACCTGGAGTTTAGGATATCCCCCCAGGCCCCCGTAACGAGCGGGCATTCTACAAAAATTTACAACCTAATTTACGTAGTTAGACCACCGTAAAACTCCCCCCTTTATTTCTCTGGTGGGTATACTTTGTATTGACGTATGTAAATTTATAGTAGTCTTGTACCGGTATTTGTCTATTGTATGTATAGGTTATACTTTTTTGGTAACTTCTGAACATAATAAATATACACAACTCACACAGGCCCGAGGACTTAGTCGGAAGGAAACAAGGGAGGAGAGGGGGACGAGGAGAAACCTCCGTCCTCGTTTCTGATCAAAATCGAGCAGTTGTTCAAATTCCGCTACCTGATCTTTAGGTAAACCCCAGAGGGGCGTTTCCACAAGTTTGGGGACGCTGTTGCTTGTACGAAGAACTCGTTGCCCCTTGAGGTGGTTATTTTGTAAACATAATGAATCGAGGTCTTCTATAAAGTGCACGTTGTCTCTTGTAATAGTCAAACTTT